TTTTTCTTTTGACGCATTTACGTTTTTCCATATTTTACATATTTTTGATTGGGACGACCTCTCTTGATTTGTCGCTAATATAATAATCAATAAAATAAACTTATTGATGCTCTTGTTTTCGTATTACTCATTGTTGCCATAATTGTTTCATTTGCAAAATAGAATCTCCTCCAATGCTTTAAAAGCGCTATCAGAGTAACTAGAAGTTCCTTCTATACATTCATAGTTCTAACCTAAAACCATTTTATTATTATTTTTTTATTTAATTTTTCTTGTTTAGGTACCATTTGTTGACATCAGGAATACAAAGTGCACGAAAATCTGAACATGAAATGGTTACTGAATTGCTAATAATGACGCAGTTGATCAACAAACAATGGAATGAAGAATTGCGAAAGAAAATGTATTATATAGATTTATTTTATTTTGCTACTCTTCGTATAATCCAATTTAGAGTGTCATGGACATATTTGAACTTCAGCAACAAGAGTGAGTTTAATTATTGTATATAAAGGAAAGACATTGACTTCAATAATTGAGAGCAGTAGCTCAGTGTTTGAGAGCTTAATTAACATTCCATATTAGTTACTAATTATAAAATGTAATATAGAAAGTATTAATTTTACAACATAGAGAGATGTTAATATACTTTATTGCGCTAACATTAATAATGTAGTTTATGACAACTGCAAGTTCCAAATAAATGTAATATTTATATTGATGTTAAAATTTAATAAATCCTTTTAATATTGTGACTACAGTTTTTTAGGAGTAACGTACGATACATAATATTTTTCCCAACCCAAGGCACCAAAGCAGTAGTCTTCAAATGAGCGTAAGGTTGCAAATTTGTGTCTTTCGAAGGCATATATGTTTTTGCCTTTGTATTGCGGTTTGATTGGCTCTTGATCTCGTATTTCATACATCACCTTTCCTGGCATATCATGTCATTTATGGTCGGCCCTGGTGTCATAGTGGCTTGCATGTGAGGCATGTAGCTATTATATCTGTGTCAGTCTACCTATTGTCGACCATCTATAGGTCTGTGTATATTTTATAAAAGTGTGTATGTGTGATACAAACTTTTAGGGCCTGTAAATGGCAAAAAGATATAATGTTTCCAATGAAGATGTATTGGTCAGTATAACGGACTTTTATGGAATATGACTCTGATTATCCCACAAATCCTAATATACAGGAATTCAGCAGAGTACAATAGGACGCAGGAGGATTCGTGTACCTGCCGTACATCTGTGCACATTGTCTCGAGGTTGCCCAACAATCAAGAGCCAATGCCAGTTTGAAATTTCGTTATATCACTTTTCCCACTATATCTTCATTTGCGAAAAGTAATCAAATTTTACCCCTCTTCATGCCCTAATATTTGTGTTATTTATTCTAAAACACTGGTTCATACCATATGTTAACTGTACCGGTACCTGTATGTGCGATATGACTGTGTACATGAATGACGAATTGGTTCCCTATATTAATATTAATGATATAAGCACCGTGATGAACCCACGGATACGCCTAAGGGCTACCTCGGCTTGATATAAACCGGCTTAGGTGGCTCAGGGCATCAACTGATATATCAACTTCGTGCCTCAGACGGGAAGGTCCTCGGATTCAAGTCTCGACCTTCACGGGATTTTCGTAGCTGGTCTGATAGATTTATCAAATTCAACCACTGTCAGAAGGAGAATTCTAGCGGCCGGCTGCTCTGATCAGTTGTTTTCTATGGTTTCTCCGTACAACGCCAGGCAAGCGTCGAAGCAGTACCCTAACAAACGGGCCTCTGACAGCGCGCTAACTTCCATACCTCTCCTTGTCCTATTACCGTCTCTTACCTACATACACTTAAACTCACATGCAACACACTACCACACGTGCTGGGAGACCAGTCAGAGCTTACAGCTTATCTCGGCTGGGAGGGTGCCCCGCTCGTGGGAGAAACCCGTTTGGGGAGAAATCCGCGAGCCGATAGGTAGGTCGGCGTCGGATCTCACCACTTCAGCGGGG